GCTACTGGGGAGGAGCAGAGGATAAGTTCAACTAGCCCCAGATGTGAAGACGCAGCTAGCTCAAAGCCGAAAGGAAGGCTAGCGGCCGACGGTACCGGAGGTGAACGACGAATCCGATGCTCTAAAGATCAACACACCATAGGAACCTGGAATGTAAGATCTATGAGCCAGGGCAAATTGGATGTTGTTATTGGTGAGATGTCAAGACTAAAGATAGACATTCTGGGGGTCAGCGAACTGAAATGGACTGGAATGGGCCACTTCACATCAGATGACCACCAGATCTACTACTGCGGACAAGAGGAACATCGAAGAAATGGAGTAGCCTTCATAATTAATAAGAAATTCGCTAAAGCGGTGCTTGGATACAACCCAAAAAATGACAGAATGATCTCAATTCGAGTGCAAGGAAAGCCTTTCAACATTACAGTGATCCAAATATACGCCCCAACCACAGCTGCTGAAGAAGCAGAAGTAGATCAGTTCTATGAGGATCTGCAGGACCTACTGGATAATATACCAAAAAGAGACATTATTTTCATTACAGGAGACTGGAATGCCAAGGTGGGAAGTCAAATGACAACTGGGATCACAGGTAAGCATGGTCTGGGAGAACAAAATGAAGCGGGACGCAGGCTGATAGAATTTTGCCAGGAAAACTCGCTGTGTATAACGAATACTCTCTTCCAACAACCTAAAAGACGGCTTTACACATGGACCTCTCCAGATGGTCAACACCGAAATCAGATTGACTACATCCTTTGCAGCCAAAGGTGGCGGACATCCATCCAGTCGGTGAAAACAAGACCTGGGGCTGACTGTAGCTCAGATCACGAACTTCTTATTGCCCAATTTAGAATAAAACTAAAGAGATCAGGGAAAATACACAGACCAGTTAGATATGATCTCACTGACATTCCTAGCGAATATACAGTGGAAGTGAAGAACAGATTTGAAGGACTAGATTTAGTAAACAGAGTCCCAGAAGAACTATGGACAGAAGTCCGAGACATTGTTCAGGAGGCGGCAACAAAGTACGTCCCAAAGAAAAAGAAAACCAAGAAGGCAAAATGGTTGTCTGCTGAGACACTGGAAGTAGCCCAAGAAAGGAGGAAAGCAAAAGGAAACAGGATAAGGGGAGATATGCCCAGTTAAATGCGCAATTCCAGAGGTTAGCCAGAAGAGATAAGGAACTATGTTTAAATAAGCAATGCACGGAAGTGGAAGAAGGCAATATAATAATAGGAAGGTCAAGAGACCTCTTCCAGAAAATTAGAAACATTGGAGGTAAATTTCAGGCAAAATGGGTATGATCAAAAACAAAGATGGCAGGGACCTAACAGAAGCTGAAGAGATCAAGAGAAGGTGGCGAGACTATACAGAAGATCTGTATAGGAAGGATAATAATATTGAGGATAGTTTTGACGGTGTGGTGAGTGAATTAGAACCAGACATCCTGAGGAGTGAGGTTGAATGGGCCTTAAGAAGCATTGCTAACAACAAGGCAGCAGGAGACGACGGGATCCCAGCTGAACTGTTTAAAATCTTAAAAGATTATGCTGTCAAGGTGATGCATGCCATTTGCCAGCAAATATGGAAAACACAAGAATGGCCATCAGACTGGAAAAAATCAACTTATATCCCCATACCAAAAAAGGGAAATGCGAAAGACTGCTCAAACTTCCGTACAGTGGCCCTTATTTCTCATGCCAGTAAGGTAATGCTCCAGATCCTGCAAGGAAGACTCCAGCAATACATGGAGCGAGAGTTGCCAGATGTTCAAGCTGGGTTTAGAAAAGGCAGAGGAACGAGAGACCAAATTGCCAATATCCGCTGGATAATGGAAAAAGGCAGGGAGTTTCAGAAAAACATCTATTTCTGCTTCATTGACTATTCTAAAGCCTTTGACTGTGTGGATCATAATAAATCGTGGCAAGTTCTTGGTGGGATGGGCACCCCAACCCCCCTTGTCTCTCTCCTGAGGAATCTGTACAAGGACCAAGTCGCAACAGTCAGAACTGACCACGGAACAACAGACTGGTTCAAGATTGGGAAAGGCGTACGGCAAGGCTGCATCCTCTCACCCAACCTTTTTAACTTGTATGCAGAACACATAATGCGATGTGCGGGGCTGGATGAATGCAAAGCTGGGGTGAAAATTGCTGGAAGAAACATTAACAACCTCAGATATGCAGATGACACCACTCTGATGGCGGAAAGCGAGGAGGAGCTGAGGAGCCTTCTAATCAAGGTGAAAGAAGAAAGCGCAAAAGCCGGGTTGCAGCTAAACGTCAAAAAAACCAAGATTATGGCAACAAGAATGATTGACAACTGGAAAATAGAGGGAGAAACCATGGAGGCCGTGACAGACTTTGTATTTCTAGGTGCAAAGATTACTGCAGATGCAGACTGTAGCCAGGAAATCAGAAGACGCTTACTTCTTGGGAGGAGAGCAATGTCCAGTCTCGATAAAATAGTGAAGAGTAGAGACATCAGACCGGCAACAAAGATCCGCCTAGTCAAAGCCATGGTATTCCCTGTAGTAACCTACGGATGTGAGAGCTGGACCTTAGGGAAGGCTGAGCAAAGGAAGATCGATGCTTTTGAGCTGTGGTGCTGGAGGAAAGTGCTGAGAGTGCCTTGGACTGCGAGAAGATCCAACCAGTCCATCCTCCAGGAAATAAAGCCCGACTGCTCACTGGAGGGAAAGATACTAGAGACAAAGTTGAAGTACTTTGGCCACATCATGAGAAAACAGGAAAGCTTAGAGAAGACAATTAGGCTGGGGAAATTGGAAGGAAAAAGGAAGAGGGGCCGACCAAGGGCAAGATGGATGGATGGTATCCTTGAAGTGACTGATCTGAAGGAGCTGGGGTGGTGACGGCTGACAGGGAGCTCTGGCGTGGGCTGGTCCATGAGGTCACGAAGAGTCGGAGACGACTGAACGAATGAACAACAACAACAACAAATAAATAAATAAAAAGTCTCTCCTGCCATGCAATCAGTTTAAGTGCCTCACAGCCCTTATATAAAAGCTTGTTACTGTTGTGAGGCAAGCTGAAATCCCCACCAAAGGGATAACCCTGCCCTCCATTTCAGCCGGCAATGCTGTGTGACAGGGGTGTCTCTCACACACCCATTTCAGAATGGATGCCCCCCCCCCCCAAATACCTTACAACCACCACTTGCCATTACATTCAAAAACATTCCAAGCTCTGGGTTCTATTATAATGAGAGAAGAGAAGTAATTGGTTGGATTCCATTATTCATTTATCTGCTCTCTTTTCCACCTGCACAGTCCTTTCTGACTTTTAAGAGGCCAGAATTAGCTACTTTTTAAGAATATCATATTAATTATACAATATTACAGTATTTTATTATACAGTATTAGTGCAGCAATACATTTTACAACTGGATTTCATCTCACCCAGTTTTTCCCCCTCTCCCCAAGCCATACACGTTTACAATCTGGCTTCAGACTACAAAAAGGAGATTCCACCTGAACATGAAGAAGAACGTCCTGTGAGAGCTGTTCAGCAGTGGAACTCCCTGCCCCCGAGTGTGGTGGAGGCTCCTTCTTTGGAGGCTTTTAAACATGCTGGAGGGCCATCTGTCTGGGGTGCTTTGAATGCATTTTTTTCTGCATCTTAGCAGAATGGGGTTGGACTGGATGGCTCACGAGGTCTCTTCCAACTCTAGGATTCTAGTCCTCAAGGGGTGCAGCAGCCCAACTGCTCCCAAGTGTATCTTGAGAGTGTAGCAGGGAGGCCCTGCTCTCGATCCCGCCAGCTTCACAAGCACGGCTGGCGGGGACGAGAGATAGGGCCTTCTCGGTGGTGGCTCCCCAGCTGTGGAACGCCCTTCCCACAGACATTAGATTAGCACCATCTCTAATGGTATTCCGCAAAAAAGTAAAGACCTGGTTATTTGTGCAGGCGTTCAAATAATTTAGTGCAATGATTGGTAATGACATAGGAATGGAACAATGGATGACGAACCTGGATCGTGTTTTTTAGTGATGAGACGCTAGTGAATGGTTATTATAGTAATTGTGTACTAACTGTGTATTTAGAGTAGGTTGTTGACTGTTTTTTATATTGGTGCATTGAATTTTGCTGTTTTTTGTGTGCTGTGAACCGCTGTGAGTCGCCTCTGGGCTGAGAACAGCAGTATAGAAGTAAAGTAAAGTAAAGTAAATAAATATCTACACTGTAGAATAATGCAGTTTGACGCTACCTGAATTAGGAGCCATAGTGCTGCAATGGGTTAAAGCCTTGTGCCAGCAGGACTGCTGACCTGAAGGTTGGAGGTTCAAATTCACGCAACAGGAAGAGCTCCCGTCCATCAGCTCCAGCTTCCCATGCGGGGACATGAGAGAAGCCTCCTACAGGATGGTAAAACATCCAGGCCAGGGTGTAGAGTGAGCTCTCATCTGTCAGATCCAGCTTCCCATGCGGGGACATGAGAGAAGCCTCCCACAGAATGGTAAAAAATCCAGGCCAGGGAGTTTAGTGAGCTCCCGTTTGTCAGCTCCAGCTTCCCATGCGGGGACATGAGAGAAGCCTCCTACAGGATGGTAACACATCCGGGCATCCCCTGGCCAACGTCAGTTCTCTCACACCAGAAGCGACTTGCAGTTACAATTAAAAAAACCCACTTAAATTGTAGAATCTTGAGATTTGTCGTTTGGTGAGTCGCCAGCACTCTTGGGCAGAGAAGGCGAAAGGCCATGAAAAACGACAACTCCCAGGATGCCCTAGAATTAAGCCCTGGCAGTTAAAGCCATGACAAACTGCGTTTAGTCCGAAATGTCGATGCACCTTAAGTACAATGCTCTCCACGCGCCTCTGAGCATGTGCAGAGAGAATGGCGTGGCGCGCCACTCCCTGCCAACGGAATGGCTCCCCCTGGCGGCGCAAGGAAGGAAGGGCGCTTCTTAGCCCCCCCTCCTCCCGCTGTCGAAGGCTGAAATAGGCGGGGAGTGGGCGTGGCTAGCCAGCGGTGGGCGGGGCTTCCTTGGCCTTTCATTATTGCGGAGGAAGGTGGGAAAAAGGCTGCTGCTCCGTTCCGGTGACTGGCAGAAGGGAAGCAGCCGCAGCAGCCATGCCGGTGGGTGACTTCCAAAGGCGGCTCCGAGGGGCTGGGGTTGGGCCGGGAAAAGGTTCAGGGCAGCAGCGGGGGAGCCAAGGATGGAGCAAGGAGTCCACTGCCCCCCCCCCCCAAATCATGCTTAATGTTGCTACAACAACATCCCCTTCCCTGCCCAAAAGAAACCCCGAGATCTGCTAAATCAGATCCTCAGGCCCAGGATGCACCTACACTACAGGATTAATGCAGTTTGACAGTACCTTAACTGCCATGGCTTAGTGCCACGGAATCATAAGAGCTGTAGTTTGGTGAGGCATCAGCACTCTTGGACAGAGAACTCTAATAGATCTTGCAAAACTACAAATTCTATGATCCTGTAGCATTCAATCATGATAGTTAAATGGGCTTGTTATTAATAACAGTGCCTGACTGCTGATATGGAAAATGAAGAATTCAAATATAGTCCCAAAGCCAATCCAGTTGAATGTTTTCACTACGCAAGATGAATCTTAAGACAGCGGTTCTCAACCTGTGGGTCCCCAGATGTTTTGGCCTTCAACTCCCAGAAATCCTAACAGCTGGCAAACTGGCTGGGATTTCTGGGAGTTGTAGGCCAAAACATCTGGGGACCCACAGGTTGAGAACCACTGGTTTAAGATGGTTCTCAACCAAACACCCTAATGTTTCAGTGGAGATCCTTTCTGCAAGGGATGTGATAAAGGGATGCTGTATAGCAGGCATGGGCAAACTTTGGCCCTCCAGGTGTTTTGGACTTTAACTCCCACAATTCCTAACAGCCGGTAGGCTGTTAGGAATTGTGGAAGTTGAAGTCGAAAACACCTGGAGGGCCAAAGTTTGCCATGCCTGCTGTATAGTTTGAGAAAGGCCCTCTAGGATTTCACCCCATACGTTTTGAAGAGAAGTTTTGCAACCCTTTAGTTTCAACTCATATAAAACGTGTTGCAGTAGTTTCAGTGTTGGAGTGCCACTCCAGAGACCAGGGTTCGATTCCCCACTTGGCCATCGAGACCCATTGAGTGACTTTGGCCAAGTCACACACTCTCAGCCTCAGAAACCCTATAATGGCTTTAGGGTCAGCACTAACTGGAAGTCAGCACTAACTGGAACGCACACAGGAACAACATGCAAAGGAGCCTCACCCTTGTTGGCATAGGGAATGAGATGTTTTGCTTCGCTATAGTGAAGATAAAACCATTCCTGATGACTGTTAAAACCCTTAATGATGACTGCTCAAATGGTGTATTTAGTTATCCTTTGTAAAGTTTTAGCTTAACTTCTGTTTTATTATTTTGTTTTGCTTTGGGTTTATATTGTGTGTGTGTGTTATTAAGTTGCAGCATTAAGCCAGCTCAAGTAGTTTTGGGAATGGTTGGCTGTAAACGCAACAACTCACATGTTTATACTGCCCTAGTTTTTTGTGGATTAGTGCCCACTTTGTCAGGTTTGTGTCATGATAAATGTCTCAAAGTGCACAAAGACCTTGTTGTCTCCTTCTGTGTGGTCTTTTTGGAACCCCTGAGTGCAACCTGAGAGATGAAGAGAATCACTCAAGACCTGGCAAGACACACACACACACAGAGGCCCAGAAGAACTATCCAGTGAAGGCAAAGCCAGTTAAAGAGTTTGTTCCTTCCTGAGAAATAAAAGGTTTTGCTTCAGGACATCTGTCAGAAGTAACTTCAGCGGTGCAGTGATTATGTCAGACAAACAGCTGTAGCCTGGCTTAAAAAGCTGTATGAACTTTAAGCCTGACCACAGTCCAGCGAGGGTGTTTGCCCACACAGGTGACCTTCTGGGCCTAAATGCAGTAAACATTGGGGAAATATCAGGAGTCTTTGGACTCCCAACCTCAGATTCCTCGAGCCACAATAGTGTTGATCAAGCTGATGGAGGAACGTAGGAATCCAAAAAAAGAAAAAAGTAACTTCTCCAAGCTCTGGCCCCAGTGATTAGTTGAAGGATTGGTCCCTTACTGTGCTATACAGTAAAGTCTCACTTATCCAACATAAACGGGCCAGCAGAACATTGAATAAGCAAAAATGTTGGATAATAAGGAGAGATTAAGGAAAAGCCTACTAAACATCAAATTACGTTATGATTTTACAAATTAAGCACCAAAACATAATTTTTTTACAACAAATTGATAGATTCAAATACATGGTAACGTTATGTAGTAATTACTGTATTTACGAATTTAACACCAACCCATTGCAATGTATTGAAACAACCGTGGATCCAGGTGGGGGTCAGACTGTGTTGGATAATACAGAATGTTGGATGAGCGAAGGTTGGATAAGTGAGACTCTACTGTATTACTTTTAGGCAAAAAGAGTTCATTTGTGAGCAAGATTTGCCTGTGCTATAAGATCTTGCACATAATGCCTTTATCATTCTAGAACAAACAAACAAAAATACAAAAGAGCTCCTTGCAGAACTTTGACTGTTGATTTTAAGAGCAATAATAGAAAAAAAATAAAGACGTAAGGAGGCATCTACTGCTTAATGCAAAGATGGATCATTTCTCTCCTCCCTCCACCATTATCTAGTGAAGCTAGACATGGCTGGCCTCACAAATAGGCAGGGTGAAGCAGCTGCCTCAAGCACTATATGTTAATGTATAGTTAGCAAACAAGTTCTTCTGTGTTCCCTAAGTTAGCCAGCTGCCCTCAAATGCAGTGTCCGGTGTTGCCCTATCACCAGTGTTGCTGTAAGAGTCAGGGTTGTTGGCTTACAACACTCAGATTCCCCCAGCCATGACTGCAGGTCCCATTGGCCATACTGTCTGGGAGATTCTGGGAGCTGAAGTCTAAAAAAAAAACTTTTGCCAAATCTGGTAAAACTTAGCAGAGTGAGAAGAAGCCCTATCTTCTTGTCATGCATCAAGCAGACAAGAGTTCTTGTCCACAGATATATAAACATCCCTTGCCTAGTTTCCAACAGACCTCACAACCTCTGAGGATGCCTGCCATGAATGTAGGTGAAAAGTCAGGAGAGAATGCTTCAGGAACATGGCCATACAGCCCAGAAAACTCACAGCAACCCAGCCCTGTCATGTTCTCAAGCAACGAAATGTCTTGGGTTGGCCTTGAAACTGGAAGTGAATTATATCTTTTGAAAGATGGCTGGAGGCTGACATTTCTGCATCATGAAGCCTTATGTCCATTTCTGACTCCACCAACCACAACACATATTTGAATGCCTGGCTTGGATACCAGGCCAATTTCCAGCTTCGCTTCTGTAAATTGCGTCTTTAGTGGTACCAAGAAAAACCGGTTAGTCATTCAAAGACTGACTTTTTATTCCCATGCTGTTCTGTAAACTGTAGCAACAGTGCACAGCAACACACTGCTCACTTGGGATTGGTCCATTTAGGAAGGATCCAGAATTTGCCACGTCTTATTAATCTCTGAGTGATTCATGGTTCACACAGGGAAAAGACAAAAGTATTACTAACCTTTCTAATGTAGATTTTTGCTAGTTAATAGACGGTGGTGAAAATTACTTGAGATCAGGTGTTAGTGGAGGTAAGACTAGGGAAATATAAATGAGCAGGTCATCATTACAGACACAGGTTCAGATACTGCATTTTTTTCTGAAACAGATTTTGTAGCTAGGTGGGTTTTTGAGAACATGTCCAATTTTATGTATTTATTTTTAAAATTCTTCTTTGTGTTCCTGGAAAAAGATTTAAGAAAACAGAAAAGAAAGCAAAAGTGAAACAGAAAGCAAAAACAGAAAGAAGTGATCAGAAATGCTCTAATTTATCTGAAATATTGTTACATAGTCATGTTTAGGAAAAGTAAGAAGAACCAATGAAATTTGGGCAATACACCATCTATCATATGTTGTTTTGGCCAGTGATACATTGTTAAAGACATTTTTCTTTTGAAACCAATGTGATTCTTGTTATGTGATTCCAACCTATGGACATCTGCTTGTAGTGTTTTCTTGATAAGATTTATTCCCGAGATTTGTCGTTGTCTTCATCTTAGGGCCCTTCCACATAGCCGTATATCCCAGAATATCAAGGCAGAAAATCCCACATTATCTGAGTGTGGACTTAGATAACCCAGTTCAAGGCAAATATGGTGGGATTTTCTGCCTTGATATTCTGGTATATAGGCCTGTGTGGAAGGGTCCTTAAGTAGTGTGACTTGCACAACGTCACACAGTGGGTTTCCATGGTTGTGCAAGGTTTCAAACCCTGGTCTTCTGGAGCCCTAGTTCAATATCCAAACCACAACACCATGCTGGCTCTGCAGCACTGTTTGGGTGGAGACATAGGGGCCCTACCACACAGCAATATAACCCAGAATATCAAGGCAGAAAATCCCACAATAACTGCTTTGAACTGGGATATCTGAGTCCACACTGCAATATATTCCAGTTCAAAGCAGAGAATGTGGGATTTTATTAATCTGTGTGGAAGGGGCCATAATCAAGAATCTGAAGGGGGGTTTTTTGTTGTTGTTTTTTTGCAAAGATTATGATTGTGGGATCCAAAGCCACATTTGATATTGTCCTGCAGCAAACATTTCCCAACATGGTACCTTTCATGCACATTGGTGCAGAACTCATCCTGCACAAACAGTGGATGGAGAAGGAGAAGTTTATAGTTCCATCATATCAAGGAGTAGGGGGTAGAGTTTTGCCTACTGGCTTGTCTTTATTTCATAATTTGTACTGTTGCCCAAAGGATCTGTTTCAATGGCCTCTCCAATATTTCCTCTCATGTTTTCAGAAACATGAGTTCTTCGTAGACATGACCTGTGAAGGATGCTCCAACGCTGTCACCCGGGTTCTCAACAAGCTGGGAGGTAAGTGGTACTAGTGCCTGACCTCTTGCATCTTTTTGGTATTGTACTTTAAAAATGCCTGTTGGTACAGGGTAAGGCATCCAAAATCCTATTGCTGAAAGGACAGGTCACTGCACTTTGAATCGTTCACCAAATATTGCATCAACCTTAAATACAGATAAGTAGACAGCTATCCTCTTGCATTGTAAATTGTACTTGTCTAGAACTGTGGGTGTTTTCCAGGTTGTATGATGTTTTGCTTGCATATCCTATATATATAGCCTGCTCATATTTAAAAGAGGGTTAGGAAATTCTGTTTCTCCAGCTATTGTTAGACTGCAATATCCATCATGCTTCCCTCATGGCTGTATTGTCTATGGATGATGGCAGCTGCAGTCTGGTAACATTCCTCACCCCTGATTTAAAAGATTGCAGGGCAGTTTTTGCTTCTTTCTCTGCTGTAGCTAAAACAACTTGATCACTGCTGTTTTTCCTCCTAATGCAGGCAGTCCAGTCAGTAACTAATTATTGATTCTTGACAAGCAGTATTTACTTTATATCCCATAAGTCATAGTGAAATAGAGAAAACTTCCTTTATGACAGGCAGATATCCTCTGCTATATTATAAGAACTTGTTCAGTAAATTTTGTTCTCATTATTGATGGTTCTCTCTATAACTGCAATTGTTTCTGCAGGAAGCGGTGAGCATGCTGTAGTCCTTAACTTATCAGGAGACAAATCACTTGCCCAAATGTTGTTAGGCTAACAGTTGCAGGGCTTTGAAAGATCTTCAAAACAAGCTACACAGAAATTCCTTCCATGTTAGGAATTCTGTAATGTTTCAGAATCACATGTACAGTAAACCCTCTGTATCCATGGATTCAACCATCCATGACTTAAACATATTTTTAAATCCCAAAATTAAACCATGTTTCTGCCATTTTATATAAAGGACATCATTTAATGGGATTTGAGCACTCATGGATTTTGGTATTCATAGATAGTCCTGGAACTAAACCCCAGCAGATAACTAGGAGGCGGGGCAGGCTGTATTTTATTCTGGTTCCCAAAGGCTTGCTCAAAAAGCCACATTTTCACTTTTCTACGGAAGATCAGGAGGGAGGGGGCTGATCTAGTATCCCTAGGGAGGGAGTTCTACAGCTGAGGAGCCACCACTGAGAAGGCCCTGTCTCTCATCCCCATCAGTTGTGCCTATGAAGAAGGCGGGACCGAGAGCAGGGCCTCCCCAGACGATCTTAATCTCCTAGATGGTTCATATGTTGGACGGGTAAGCTGGGTCAGAACCATTTAGGGCTTTATAGGCTAAAGCCAGCACTTTGAATTGTGCTTGGTGGCAGCACTCAGCACTTAAAAAGCTTACCTTTTAAGAAATATCTACCAATGTGTCAATTTAAGGCTATATGTATTGGATGGATAATACGCACAATAACCAGTCCTATCCCTACTGCACACGGAAAAGGTATATATCCACTGTCCATGATGCAAGAATTGTGCAACCGCATCCACATGGTTACTGACACAAAAGAACCTTTAGCTCATTAGAGTTTAAATAGATTGTTCACATCTCTCCTTGAAAACAAATTCTACATGTTTTCTGAGCCATATATATATGCTCTTGTTATCCAGTGTCCTTTGTGGGCATGTGCATAAACGCATGTCCATTCTGAGATATATGCAAGCAAGTAATCTTTGAACCTTGGCTAGTCATCCATCTCACCAGATTTGTTCTAGTAACACAGATACACAAACAAGGAGCTGGTTCTCAGGGGCTTTTTATTTAACATGCATTGAATCAGAACTGGCTTGGTTGTGAAACAAAGAAGTGTTACTTTGTAACTTCTCATAGGGAGTTAACTAGCTTATGAAAACAAAGCAACGCAGTGAATAAATAAAATACAGATCTATGTGCCAAATTGAAATGTGGAGGAAATAGCTTAAAATTTCAACAAGCATGCATGGATCTGCATGTTTCTAGAGACTTCCATGTTAGAGGCTAAGTACACTGAAGACCTCAGGGCTGTCCAGAGAATAGGGATGGAGAAGAGGAAAATGTAAGAGATTGGGAGAAATATAAAGTCTGCAGAAGCTTTGTCTAAGTATAGCTCAGTAGCTAATATTTAAGTAATCTTTGCAAAAAAGGAATGTAAAGGAACAGGGGATAACATATATAAATGGATACAAAACCAGGGTTAGGCACAATCCGTGCATGCCTCTATTTCTCATGTTCTTCTTTGGCTTCTTTATTTTGAATCTCTTCTGTCTCATTTAACTGCTTTCAAATATTTTTGTGAGCAGTATCGACCACCAAATTAGAAAGACCACAGAGGAGACCTCAAAAAGGGAGGCACAATTTGGCCACAACCCTTCCCACTCAACTCCTAGGAAAGACAGGACTAAAGTCATTGGCCTTCTCATAGAATTGGTTTGAACACTGAAATAACATCTTTCTAGACACACACAGGACTCAGAAAGACAGAAAGAATAGAGGTCGACATCTGAAGGGTGTTGGCACTTCTTCTTTGGAGGTCTTCATTCAGAGGTTGGATGGGACTGCTTTAATTATGTATTCCTTCATAACAGGAAATTGGACTAAATGGTCCATGGAATCAGTCTGTGATTCCCAAAATATAACTCCCTGCTCAAAGATATTTTTCTTTGATCCTGAAAAGACTGTGCTGGAACTCCTGGGATAATGTCAGGAAGGAACTGCAAGAAAAGAGGCTTCAGGCTGCTGAGAAAAAAGAGAGCTTAAAAATTGAAGCTTTGTGAGAAACTAGTCTAGACAGACATGCTTTCAACTGATGATTCAGAAAATAAGGGAGGGAGATCGTGTCATGAACCATGCTGTTGATGGAGGTTTTTTTACAGTCTTTCTCAGAAGATGAGAGAGTTCTACTGACCCAGATAGATTTCTTTGATTAATAGAAATATAATGGAGGCCTTGGTGGTGCAGTGGGTTAAACCCTTGTGCTGGCAGGACTGAAGACTGACAGATTGGAGGTTTGAATCCAAGCAGAGTGCAGATAAGCTCCCTCTGTCAGCTCCAGCTTCCCATGCAGGTACATGAGAGAAGCCTCCCACAAGGATGGCAAAACACCAAAAACATCTGGGCATCCACTGAGCAAAGTCCTTGCAGACAGCCAATAGTCTCACACCAGAAGCACCTTGCAGTTTATTTATTTATTTACTTTATTTCTATACCGCTTTTCTCAGCCCTTAGGCGACTCAAAGCGGTTTACACAACAATGCAAAATATCACAAAACAGTATAATGCAATTAAAACAGATTATAACATCAACAATTAACAACAGTGTAACAATCATAACGCCTCAGAATCCACTCTCATTTCTCAAGTCACTCCTGACGCAACCAATAGAAATATATAAAAGACAAACAAATGCTGTTTGATTGAATGTGGCAATGACTAATCTTAATAGTATGGTTTTATCTCCTAAAGTTCAATTAACAGGGACATCTTATGGGTCCAGTTATCAGCTGCAGAATACCTGGGAGGAAACATGATTTTCATCTGTAGCTTATTAATAAAACTTGTTGAATGTTACTTTCTATAGTTGGAGAGGCTCTGGCTCATTTGGCACTGTTGTTGCATGCCTTCAGAACATTTCTGACTTATGATGACCCTAATACAAAGCTATCACAGGGTTTGCTTGGCAAGGTTTGTTCAGAGGGGGTTGCCCTTGCCTTCCTTGAAGGTGGAAAGAATGTAATATGCCTATTAGGTTTCCATAGCAGAATGGGGATTCAAGCCCTGCTCTCTCAGTTTCCTAGTCCAGCACTCAAACTATTCTATTTAGTCTCCATTTGGCTTTATTTTGTGCTTTGCTATGAGTGAGAGGCATTGCTGTTTCCTGTCGTTCCTTCCTTCATCAGAATGTATTGGGACAAAAAGCTTCATATTGTCATATATACTAATGGGGTTTAAGCTGAAACTGGCCAAGAGAGATATTTTGTCATTAAAAATAGTTGCATCTGGTTAGTTGGTGTTGTGCTGTTCATCTTTGTAAGACTCTTGAGTTACTTTCAGTGGGGTTTGAAGGAGTGCACTGCAGTGGTTGATGTCATGCCTTTGATAGAATGGCATGACATCCCAAGTATGAATCTCAGATATGCAGACTTCATGTCAGTTCCTTCACAAGTGTGGCTCCTATTTTGGAAGTCACTGATATTTTCATTGGGATGATTACTACGAATTTCTTCTATATAGAAAAATAATGTTTAAGACATAAGACTATGCTAGCCTACTCTTTTCTGTCAAAACCATTTCCATTACTTGAAAAAGCCATTGAATGCAGCTGTGCAAGGCACAGCATGCGTGTGAAGTAGACACTATGCAGATGTGGCTTAAAGGCAGCCTGTCACACCCGGGAAGCCTGGGAGAACCAAATATATCAAGAGGCAGGTACTTGCCTCTGAGAGAATTCAAAGAGGGTTTGAACCGGCACTGACAGGGTTTGAAATCCACACAGACAGGGCTTTTTGCTGATAGAGACATGGATTGGAGCAGAAGTAGAAAGTGTTTTGGATTTGGAAAACAAGAGAAGACTACCTGTTTGAAGAGTTTAAAGTACAGATAATTTTATAGACTATTATATTTTTCTACCATGTTTGATCTATCTTTGCTGTTGGTTTGTACTTGTCTCTGGCTTCTATCAAATTGGAGTCAGACTCTGCATATGAAAACTAAGGCCCCTTCCACTCAGCTGTATAAAATTCCACGTTATCTGCTTTGAATTGGGTTATATTGTTGTATGGAAGGGCCCTAAGTCCCCTTCTGCACTTCTCTATATCCCAGAATCTGATCCCAGATTTTCAACTTTGAATTGGATTATATGAGTCTCCATTGCCAGATAATCAGATAATGTGGATTATCTGCTTTGATAACCTGGATTATATGACAGTGTAGAAGGGGCCTCTGATAATCCAGTTCAAATCAGATATTGTTGATTATCTGCTTTGATAAAATAGATTATATGGCAGTGTAGGAGGGACCTAAGAAGCCACATAACACAGCTATAAGTCCACATTTAAGGGGTCCTACTGAGGCCTAGTAATCCAACCCAATCCAACAAGGGAACACTTGGCGAACAAGGGCAGGGTGAATGGCAGGATTCCTAGGGTTTGGAGCTTTGGAGTCAGGCTGGATAAAGGTAAGGTATCTGTCACAATGGGCCAGTCTTTCATGTCAGTTAGGTTACATTTCCTTTGTTGGAAAAATGAGCTAATCGAGAAGTATCAAGTTTGTAAAAATTATTGTTGTTCATGATTTATACCTTCAAGTCTTTTCTGACTTACGGCAACTTTAGAGTGAACTTAAGCTGCTTATTAATACAGTTGGCCTCTTAACCCATAGATTCAGTCATCCACAGCTTGAAAATATTGTTGCAGGGAGATCCAAAAAGTAAACTATATTTTGCCATTTTATATAAGAGACTTTACCATTGTATGTAGTGGGACTTGAACATCCACATATTCTGGTATCCACAGGGCTCCCAGAACCAAAATCTAAGGGCCCTTCCACACAGCCCTATATCCTAGAATATAAAGGCAGAAAATCCCACAATATCTGCTTTAAACTGGTTATCTGAGTCCACACTCAGATAATGTGGGTTTTTCTGCCTTGATATTCTGGGATATATGGCTGTGTGGAAGGGCCTTTAGTGAACACCAAGGACCCTCTACAACTACCATAATTACTGCTAGACTTTGATTGTTGTAAAAATACTAGGTTGTGGGTAGGGAATATCTTGAGTTAATAATTTCTCAATGTCCTATCTGTATATTGTATCTCTTGACTCAGGTGTTCAGTTTGAAATTGACCTCCCTAACAAAAAAGTGAGTGTTGAGTCGGAGCATAGCGTCGACACATTGTTGGATACGCTGAAGAAAACAGGGAAGAATGCCTCTTATATTGGAGAGAAGTAATCACATGGGAACATGTGCCTGGTGAGACTACTTTGCTGCAATAAAGGTCAGTTGCCAGAAATACTCATAAGCACTAAGATGAACTGTTCTGCCTTGGGGTTGCCCAGATATGTTGGATTATACTACTCATCATCTACAGTCCCCAGTGTGCTATTAAGATATGATGGACACTGCAGTCCAACATCTCCGAGTTGTGCCTGCTCAGAAGATACTACAGTAAAGATAAATCTACATCTTAGGTAAAAGGTACTTAGAAATAGAGATCCACATAGTTAATAAAAGGTGTGGTGTGATGTCATCATGCTACTAACTTACTAACTTACTGGTAATTGACAACTGGAACGGAATACGGATTACGATATTGGTTATGATTCTATGATGTGACGGAGTGGATTATTTAGTGTAATTAGATTATAGTGTATTATTGTTGTATTGATTTCCTGTTTTGCCCTTTTGTAAACTGTTTTTATATGTTGTGCACCGCCGCGAGTCGCCCTAGGGCTGAGAGCGGCGGTCAATAAATGCAGTAAATAAATAAATAAATAAATAAATGTGGAGAGCTGACTGTAGTGTCATTGCATTAGTTATTATAATTATTATTCACATTTTTGGACAGCTGTATCTTAAAATAAAAATGTATGCTTCCTTACAAGTAAGATATCCAACAGTTAAAAATCTACAATATACAAATAATATTATCAATGTGTAATATACAATATACAAATAATATTATCAATGTGTAATATATGGTACTTTTTCAGTCTGACCTGTGGCTGTCTCATAGGCCACAATGCTGATACAACAGACAGTAGGACTCTATGGGCTTGGCATGTTAGAGACGGTTGGCACAAGCACACCCCAAGTGCTAGTCAAGCTATTTAGCATGGAGAACTTCAAAATGCTGCATTCCTTCTCTGGTGTCAGGTTTTACATTCACAGTAGTGTTTATGTGTATATGCCTTCAGGTCCCCTGTCGACTTAATGGCGATTTCATGAATGTCAAAGGATTCCTTAGAGAAGGACTACACAGGGGTTGCTTGCCAGTTCCTCCCTCTGAAATTTAGCCTGCAGCACCTGGTATTTATTGGCAGCCTCCTGTCCATGTTCTCACCAGGACTGCCCTGCTTACCTTCTAAGATCAGATGGAATCTGGTGCCTTTAGGCCAGGCATCCTCAAACTACAGCCTTCCAGCTGTTTGGGCCTCCAACTCCCAGAATTCCTGACCATTGACCAAGCTGGCTAGGGCTTTTGGGAGTTGGAGGCCTAAACAGCTGGAGGGCCAGAGTTTGAGGATGCCTGCTTTAGGCTAGTTAGGCCCTCACCATGGTGAGTAATATGCATTTCAGCTGTGCTTAGTTTTAGTGTAACTGTATCATACTAATGTAAGAAGGAATTATTTCTTCATAGAAAATTCAGTCTGCATTCCATTGTAGCAAGCTAGGAGAATGGGTTCTCTTTCACATAGAAGGCTGAAAGGTAAGGGAGTAAACTGAACCTGAGTCGCTCCCAACTCAAAGAAGGCTATTGGTGGGATTTCAACTTTGCTATAAAACATTTTCTCTGTGCCAACAACACTGTGGATTTTGTGTGCTTGGTACCTTTTATCCCATCTAAGAATATTTATCTGGAGGCTAAGTGTCTGAAGCTATAGATATTTGCAGACTATTGTTTCAATATTGCTGGCTGCATTCATTTTTGCAGTCTTACTGTAGTCTGAAGCAAAAACAGGTTTTACAGGCTTGTGCCATACTTCATATAGGGGATGGGCAAGTCAAGAATACCCTCTCTAATGTGGGAAGCCCTGTTGCAGATGCATGTATCAGCTGATGTAACTGTTATGAACATCTGTTCAATTGTTTTCCTTGATGAGAAACAGATTGCTTTTCCAACATCTTTACTTTTTCTTAGAAATAGGAGTAGGTTTCAAAAGGCCACAGATTTTTTTTCTTGTTCATTGTAGTGGGTGGTGGTGGTAAAGCTGCGAAGAGAGGGTTTAAAACAGTGTAAGTCTTTTTTCACAATCTCAATAATGTTCTTTTCCCATGCTTTATGAACATGCCCCCCCCCCCGAAGTGAAATTGACTAGTGAAACTTCCAAGCTATCTCGCCATTTTGATGTAGGTTATATTTGAAGTAACTTTCTGCTCCTTGTTTGTCACAGAGATTCACATCACGGTTGACTGAATGCATCTTCCATTCGCACGAAGGTGCATTAAAGGGAGATCTGGGCAGAGATCAATTCAGATGTTTGTATGAGAGTCATGATAATAGCTTGATGTCCCTCCAAAAGAAGCAGTCTTGTTCATCTTAATCTTTTAAGTGAGGGATATCCAAACTCTGATGGTCTGTGGACAAAGCAGCAATCAAGAAAGTGCAAGCTGCTAATTCTGCTGTACATACAATGTCATTGGCCTCCTTTGCACAATCTGCCCCATTGCATAATACAGTTGTCAGAAACTGGACCTTTACAAAGTATGGTAGCTCAAGACTTTCACTGCTGGAAATCATCAATAGATTAGAGAGCCAGACCAAAGCTAACAAATGTAAGATACCACACTTAGGCAGAAAAAAGGAAATGCAAAGATACAGCATGGGTAATGCCTGGCTTGACAACAGTCCATGTGAAAAAGATCTTGGAGTCTATGTGGACAACAATTTGAACATGAGCCAATAGTGTGATGCAGCAGCTACAGAAGCCGATGGGATTTTGGGTTGCATTAAAAGGAGTATAGTGTCTACATTGAGGGAAGTCATGGTGCCTCTTTATTCTGCTTTGGTCAGATTTCACCTGGAATTCTGTGTCCCATTCTGACCACCACAGTATAAAAGAGATATGTACAAGCTGGAAGGTGTCCAGAGGAGGGCAACTGAAATGATCAAAGTTCTGGATACTATGTCTTACAAGGAGCATCTTAAAGAACTAGGCATGTTTAGCCTGCAGAAGAGAAGGTTGAGAGGAGACATGATAGCCATGTATAAATATGTGAAAGGATGTTGTAAGGAAGAGGAAACAGGCTTGTTTTCTGCTGCCCTGAAAACTAGCAATGGGTTCAAATTACAGGAAAGAAATTCCACCTGAACATTAGGAAGCACTTCCTGACTGTATGAACTGTTCAACATTGGAATTCTCTGCCTCAGGGTATGGTGGAAGCTCCTTCCTTGGAAACTTTTAAATAAAGTCTGGAAGACCATCTGTCAGGAATACTTTGCTTGTGCTTTTACTGCATGGCAGGGGGTTGGACTAGATGGCTCATGTGGTCTCTTCCAACTCTGTTATTCTGATTCTATGTTCATCTGTCATCCTCCTCACAATTTCTAAATATGTTTACCAGAGCTGTCCCATTGTTTGAAAAAGATAGCAAATAAGGCATCCAACCGATGACTTGTGTGTGTGTGGTGAATTCTTCCTTCAGTTTATTACACTGATAGTTGTGTGGAACATGCATCCCACCTGGGCGTAGTTTTAGAGTCTTGTATTGGTGCCATACTAAAGCAAGAAGCTGTTCCTTTTACACTGGGCATTCAGTCTGAATACCTTTGTGGCAAGCTAGGGGTTTTCTTTCATATAGAAGGTTATTTGCACATTTAATATATTATTTACAAAGCAAATGGGATGGGGCTGGTTAAAGAAACCTTCTCTTTCTTACACCCCCCCTCCCCCATTTCATGTGTGTTCCACTTTTAGATAGGTTGAATCATTGCTTCTCACCTTCATAGGCAGTGGTGCTTGGATGGTGGATTCCACTTTCTCTTTATGCCAAACAAGGGCTGTAGACCCCCAGACTGTAAGAGAAGTGGTGATTATGTTTCAGGGTTTAGGAAAATTACTTTTTTTGAGTCTATCTTTTAGAATCCCCAGCCAACATAACTAATAACTGGAAACAAAGTTAGATGTATACATAACACTTGGTAAAATGGCTGTTTGTAGACATTGAACAATATGAGGGACAGAAAGAAGGATAGCTTAAATGCCAAGGAGTGTGCAGTACTATTATGATATTATTTATTTATTTCTCCCTCAGGAGACTCAAAGCGGCTTAACATAAAACATCAGCATATAATTTACAATATACAAATATTGAAGCAGCATTAAATATAAATAGTATTAAAACAATTCAGATTAAATCCATAAAAACATATAACACCACAGCAGTCCTTGACATTATTTTAAATACCTTAATCTTCAAAAGCCTGCCAGAATAAAAAGGTTTTAGCCAGTAGGGGGGTGGCCATTCTGGCTTCCCAGGGAAGAAAGGAGTTCCAGAATCGAGGGCAACCACTGAGAAAAAAGCTCACTCTCTCGTTCCCACCAACCAAGCTTGTAATTCTGACCTGCACACTTTGTATCTTTCTAGTCCATGTGAATCTCACCTGCTGTATACACCAGTCTACTAGCAGCTCTGTGAACCGGGCTTCTTCATTTTGTTCAACCCTAGGACTGTAGAAATGTAGATTCCATTCTCTAGCACACTCCCTTCTTACTCAAAGTTGCTATTTTTGAACATGTCTTTCAGGGGAAAATTCCCACATGAACATGGTTTAGTCAAAATTTATCAATGAATTCAAATCTGTTTATTTGGGTTTGAATAGAGACAATGGTTTCCTGTCCCACGACGTGTCAATTTGTGAAGTTGACTGTATTATCATCATTTACTGTTGTTGTGAGCAGTCACTGTGATGATTTTGCTTACATTGAGTTAACAGATGGTAGTCTGCATTTCATTGTCCATTTAAGTCAAATCCTTTTACACCTAAAATGTATATGCGTGTGTATATATGCCCAAAGAATATCGCGCCTTTCGCATCTGATGTAGTTGCATAGATCCCTTTGTTCCGTTTCCGTGAGGCTAATGTTCCTGTGGTGTTCTACCAGCAGATGGTGATCTTGTCTAACTTTCTTTAACTTTCCTTGTTTTTCAGCAATGCTTAACAAAACTTCTGTAAAAGGACTGATGTTTATGCTTCTCTCAATGCTGTTCCTGGATTGTAATTCTCCTGCTGGATGTTAGACAAGAAAGAACGGGTGGAAGAAGACTGCTCTTGGTGGCAAAAGAGACGTTTTTATCACATTTTTATTTCTCCTCCTTGTAGTACATATGCATTCTTTAAATTGGCATTGTAATAAAGAAAGGAACTGCTTCCATTTTGAATTCTGTGACTCAGGGACTTTTCTTAAGTTCCAGTTAGTATGAGTGGGGCTTAGTCTTCTACCAGCCAGGCCCTCCATTATTCAGACCCAACATGGTAGTATTGTAAAGCGGCCTTCCTCACCCTGGAGTCATCCAGGTGCATGGTATGATAACTCCCTCCATCCACAGCACATGCAGAGAATTTTCTGTAAGTGAGGATTGTTTCAAAAGGATTTTCTGCTCATTGTAGGAGTACTCTGTTTGGTGACAATACAGTATATATTTTTCTTTGCATCAGATTCTACAATTATACATGATTTGTTGTGTGTTGACAACAACACCAAAGAGTACTTGTTCTCAGAGACAGGTGAGAAATAAATAAATAAATAAATAAATAAATAAATAAATAATAAAATCCATCCAACTCCCAACCTCTCAAAATTAAACCTAACTGTCCTGCTCACCCTTTTTAAAAATCCGGATATTCAGCCCATCTTGTCACTCCCAGCCTTCATTCCTTCACTCTTTCCTAACAGATACTTACCTTATAACATATCATTCATGACATACAGTGCATACTATGCCTTACCTCAATTTATCCAATAAATGCAACAACATTTTCAAAGTACACTGGGTTGTTGGTATGCACTGGAGTTTGGTTCCAGGACGCCCTCATGAATACCAAAATCCATGGAACCTCATCTCATTGCAGCATAGTAAAATAGTGTCCATTATACTGTGTAAAATGGCAAAATCAAGGTTTGCTTTTCAAACCTTGATTTGAAAATATTTCCAAGCTGTGGATGTTAGAATCTGTGGGCACAGAATTTGTGGATACAGAGGGCTGGCTGTAAGTCTGGAACATCAGATATTGATTCCAGATCAAGAATCTGACTGAACTGGTAGCTGGAACTTACTTCAATCCTAGCAACATGACTAAATCTCATATAGTATTTGGGGACAGCTTATGGGTTAACAAAGTCATCTGCTCCAACATCTTGGTGCTGCTCTTCAAACAGATTTCTAATATCTTATTGTCTCTCCACATGTCCTAGTGTTTGCTGTCTCAGGAAGTTACCTTTCCCTGTATAATGCTAACCCTGTATTGTATTGTAGTGTAGGTGAAAAAAAGAAAACTTCGTATATACCATGCTGTACACTGGGTAGAAAAGACAGGAAAGACTGGGTCCTTCCTTTCCAGAAATGTTTCTATATTGCTCATTCTCCTGGTTTGAAACAGCAGCAAGCAAAATAAAAATATGGTTGCAGAGATAGGAATGGCGGCTCTTTGTCTATGTTCTCATGCTGTCTGTGCCATATTGTCAGAAGTTGATGCATCCAAGGAAAAAGAAGAATAGCTTTAGGAAAACGAGGATAAAGCAGATGGTAATTATTCTATAGTTTCTGAATCAGCATGGTGTAATGCCTGGAGTATTGGATTTGAATCTCCACGCAGCCTTAGAAGCCCAATGGCTGACTTTGAGCAAGTCTTCACATTTGTTTCCAAAAAGAAAGTCACTAGCAAACCTCTTCTAAATAAATCTTGCAAAAAAGAAAACAACAAAACAAATCTAGATAATAGGGGATGTGGTACACTGTAGAATTAATGCAGTTTGACACCATTTTAACCATCATAGCTCAATGCTATGGGGTCTTGCCTGCAAGCTCTGACAGAGAAGGCTAAAGATTTTGTAAAACTAAAACTCCCAGGATTCCATAGCACTGAGCCATGATGATTAAAGTTATACAAAACTGCTTTAACACTACACTGTAACTCAGGCATGGGCAAACTAAGGCCCGAGGGCCAGATGAGGTTAAGGGAGGAAGGCACACAGCAGCTGGGAGTTCTCTAGAGCAATCTCAGCCACTGACTATCTTGTCCTCCTCCTGGCATAATGCCAGGAGGACATCCCAAGGATCAGGGGAGGAGGATTAGGGCAGTTGCCGTGTGTCTTACCTTTCTCCCGGCATAAGGATGGGATGAACAGCTCTATCCTTATGCCAGGAAAACAACCCAAGGATGACCCTTTCCTTGCCCTTTCCTGGACTACTCCAACCCAGCGTGTGCCCAGCCCCTCTCCCTCCTGGCCCAGCCCTCCCCAAGACAAAAATGTTTGCCCATGCCCGGTGTAGATGCACTGAGAGCCAAAATGGCAAAAGCTGACTTTTAAGTTACATAACAAGCATATTTTTGGAGATCTATTTGCTTTTTTAAGCCAAGGAGATAAGATCCTGTTTTGGAAACACATTTTCCATCACATAGTCACAAGAATGAAAACAAAATAGAGTTGTATCTGATAATGCATGCTACATTAATCCACTGAAATTAATAAAGCTGATGTGGAAAGGAGAAGAACTGGCCTTTTCTACAAAAGTATGTGTGACCTCAGTTTTAGTTTTGAACTGCCATAAAGTCAGCTTTGATTTATGGCAAACCTCTGCATGAGAGACCTCCAATGAGGGACCCTATCATCAACAGCCATGTTTAATTCTTACAATTTAAGCTGTGACTTCCTTGGTTGAGTCTAACAACCTGTAATGTAGTCTTTTTCTTATTGATTTCTACTTTCCCAAGCATAATTGTCTTTTCTAGTGAATAATGTCTTCTTGTAATATGTTCAAAGTATAGTAGACTCTGTTTAGTCATCTTGGCTTCTAGAGAGAAGTGAGCATTGATTTGTTCTAGCAGCCATTTATTTGAATGTATCACTAATAACTACTTTTTAGAAAAAGTAATTTTGCTTTTATCCTTTAGAAAATCTACTAGAATACTTTTAGAAAAAGGATCTAAAAAGGCAGTAGCTCAGGTATGGGCAAACTTTCTAGCTTGTGGGGGGGGGGCATGGGCGGGTGGGCCCGGAGGGAGGGGATACTCCTCAAGCCCCCTCCCTGCCCTTTCCTCTCCTTTGTCTTCTCTTTCAGAGGCAGAAAGTGAAGGAAAAACAGGAAATGTTTGGATCCCAAAAGGGTGGTCTTGGTCAGGATGAGATGGTGGATGGGAGAGAAAAAGTGTATCCATTAGACCTTGTATTGTCTACTCCTGATATAAAAACCTAGAATCCTGGAGCTGGAAGAGACCCCCAAGGGCCATCCAGTCCAACTCCCTGTTTTGCAAGAAGGCACAATCAAAGCACTCCCAATAGACAGTCTCTGTGGAAAAGCCTCCAGAGAAGGAGGCTCCACCACACTCCCAGGCAGCCTGTGCAATTCTCCAACAGTGCTTACCCTCAGGAAGTTCTTCATAATCTTTTCAGTCAAATCTCTTTCCCTGCCATTCATTTGAAATATGATTCCCTTGTGCCCTGGTCTCTAGAGCAGCAGAAAATCAGTTTTCTCCTCCCCTCTTCCTTAATGGGACACCCTTATAAATCTTGAAACACAGTACTCATGTACCCTCTTTACCTTCTCTTCTTTCAGCTAAACATCAGGGAGGAAGGGAGGGAGGAAGAGAAAGATGGAAGGAAGGAAGAACAGAGGGAGGGAGGAAAGACAAATGGGAGGGAAGGAAGGAAGGAAGGAAGGAAGGAAGGAAGGAAGGAAGGAAGGAAGGAAGGAAGGAAGGAAGGAAGGAAGGAAGGTGAAAAAGAGGGAAAGAGGAAGGAAGGATGAAAGGGTAGAAGGGAAGGAGGAAAGGATAAAGAGGGAGGAGAGGGAGGGAGGAAAGAAGGAAAGACAGAAAGAAGGAAGGATATGATGTTGGTGTGAGAGAGGAGGGCTTGAGGAAAGAGCCCAAGGGGCCTGGGTTTGCCCATACCTGCATTAGCCTGTTATGCAAAACATGCTTTCCTCTCAGTCATCTTTTCGGTGTCTCAACATCTCAAGCCAACAGGACGAGACGGCACTTCTCTGCTGTCTAATAAGGCTACAGATCTATAGTATAATATTAAAAGTCCCAATTAAACTCTAAAAGGAATGAAGTTCTCATTGAATCGCATCATATTGTAAATTGGTTCCTGTGGAAATTAATTAATTAATTAATTAATTAAAAATGATGACTGCTGAAGAGACTTCTCTCTTGAATTTTCCTGACTTTGATGCGAGTCAACTAGAAATGATTAGGCTTACCTATTTAATCACTTTTCCTTTAGCTTTCTTTTAGCCATAGGTATATGAAAAAGCTGGAGGTTGTTGTCCTCCTCTATAGCTAATTTTAGAATGTTCTAAAACATTCCAGGAGAACAGAATAAAATCAAAACAAAAGGAACAAACTTCAGCCATTGGCAATGGAGTACAACATTTTAAAGGTGTGCTGAGTTCTTGATGCCGACGTCCTCATGACCTCATTACTGAGACTGCAAAAGACAGTATTTCAATTAAATATGCTTTTAAAAGAATAGGAAATGTGATGTTCTAAATATATGGAAAACCGATTATCTACTTCAGTGTTAGCTCTCCCATGGAGGGAGTTGCTCTTGTCTTTACCACTGATGCTGTTGACTGGAGCCGATATAAACTGGGCTTCAGTAATATCTACATTCAAATATATCCTACCCTATATTCAGAAAAGACTCTTGGAGAGCTAATTCCTGATGTGAATACTGCCAACCATCACCAGCCCCAAGCCTGTTAGTCATAACTTCTCACTAGGATGGCCTTATTCTTAAAGAAAATACCCTGGCTTTTGAATTGTTGCCTAGTCCAGCTCTGGTTTAGAACTTTGACCTCGTTATTGTTATATTTTCTCTCACCTGATACAATTGATTTTCCTCACTAAAGTCTTAGAGTTTTTCAGCTAGAGTACTAGAATGCATCAGTCTTTTATGTACTTTCAAGTTGATGCCTATCCAAGGGTTTGTTTTTGTTTTTTTTTTTTGGGGGGGGGGGGGGGGGGTTTGGTTTTTTTTTTTTTTTTATGAATTGATTGAGGAGTGGTTTACCATTGCTTTTCCCAAAGCCTGAGAGGGTGTGACTTCCCCAGAGTTGTCAACTGGCTTTCATGGCTGAGTGGAGACTTAAATCTTGGTCTCACTGGGTCTTTGCCCAATACTCCAACCACTAAACCTCACTGATTCTTACCAAAA